ATATGCCATCAGTGGTTAGCAAATGAAAAAATACACTCCGGATTGGAAAGCCATCTTCAGTGTATGCCTTATCAAATTCATTGGGTATGGTTTTGATTATATCACTTTTTGGAATGAACTTCATATGCAATGTGTTATGAAGAGAAAAATAAAAATAATCGAATGAATATTCGGCAAAATGTGTGATTCTTAAAGTAAAAAATAAAGAATATATTGAAAAAAATTGGGATTTTGAATTATTTTGTCATTTTAAATGAACTATTGTTCATAGTCGTTTTTGGCACATTTCATGCGATTTTTTCAGGATGAAAATATCATATGAATTTGTGATTTTTGAGAGTGTTTTAGATGATATTGTCACTTTAAATAAACATTTTGTCCATAGATGTTTTTGGAGTCTTTTAGACGATTTTGTCATTTTTCCAGAAAACTCGTATTTAGACGATTTCGTTAGTAAAATAATTTACAAATTTTAGATAATTTTGTTGAATTATTTTTTCAGCATTTTAGATGGATTTGTCAATTTTGCCAGGGAACTCGTATTTAGACGATTTTGTTATTTTAAAACCCGATTTTGTTAAGAAAAAAATTGTCACATTTTTAGATGATTTTATCATTTAAAAAAATATATTTTAGACGAATTTGTTAAAAAAAGAGACCATTTCCTTTAGACGAAATTGTCATTTTTTTTAGACGATTTTCTTTTATTTTTAGACGTTTTTATATTTAACCGCTACGGAAACAAACGACCAGTCGAACGCCATACTGGTGAACAAAAACTCGGGTGACAACAAACAGAAAAAAATGAAAATAATGTCGCATTAAATTTAACACTTTTCTTTTCCGTGCATAAATTTGCATTCTCTCTTTCTCACCCTGGCCATCATCATCGGTCGCAGTCCACACCAGATGCGCGTTACGTATGCATTGTTTACTTTCGCTTAAAATTCAAATAGACTTTTTTGTTTGTGTTTCTCAAATTGTTCGTGTGTATATGTGTGTATTTTCTAGGTTGCACATTAAACCATTAAAACATTCGTCGAATCATCCGGTTTTCGTGATGCACCAATGCTATGGAAGTAATATTTCCATACATTCAGACAAATTTTTACATCCATAAACAATCCATTTTTACCATTTTCCTTTCATCTACACTCTTTTGCTATCGAACCAAAACACATGCCATCTCAGAGTCTCAATCTCCGATTTTGTTATGCAAACAAATTTTCAAAACCCAACTTTACGTGATACTTCCAAAGGCGCTCTCTCTCTCATACACTCATAAAAGCTCATTCCGGAGCATAAATAAAATGCTCCAAGACCATTTCGTTCAATTTTAACCGGTTTTATATAGCTTTTCTCACCGAAGAGGTAACGGTTCGACCTTTTTATAACGATTGTCGTTTTTCAACTTGTTTTTCATTTCCACTCTCGGTTGTTTTCTCTCTCTCTCTCTCTCGTCACAAGTTTCTTTCCAAGCGAATTTTGTTCCATGATGACAGTGAAAAACGAACGACCATTGAAAGGAAAAACATGAATCAGATTTCCGGAGCGTTGTTTCCTATTCGCACAATTATTTAGTCGCCTGGAAGAATGTTCTTTTTTCTTCTGTTGTCCCATCGAACGTGTGAAACAGCGATGGATAATGAAAATTTGCCAGTCAAACTCAAAATAAGTTGTTTCGACTAGTCGAGAGAAAATGAAAAAAAGAGGATGTGAAAAAAGTGAAAATACGGCGGTGTTGCATTTTCTTTATTTGTGGGTTGAATTCAAATGCCGAAACAGGCCTAGGATTCAATGACCGCACATCCGGTATTTTTGGATCCCCTCCAACGCCACAAGGATACATATTTTACTTCGCTTGATGTTTACAGGGGATCATGTTTGCTTTTTTGGAATTGATCACGCACAAATATATCTGCAGCGGCAGAACTCACTCCTTCACAAATACCAGTTCCGCCTACGAATTGGCTTATTATTATTTTGTTTGAAGTTTTCTTTAATGTTTTTCAATCGCTGAAAAAAGATCTCCGGTCATTTAGTTAGAGTTGGACCCATTTCCTTGTTAACTTAACTTTCACTTAATACAATTGTATATAACCCCTAATCAGACTTGTCGAATTGACTGATGGAAAAATCGCGAACACTTTTGTTAGAAATGAATAAATTTTGAGTACAAGAAGAAATTTCTTTTGAAATCTAATTCAAAATTCAGTTTTTAAACGGAAGACATTGAGTGTTGGGATAATTTAATAACGATTTTGAACTTAAGATGAACGAGATAAAAGTCTCAATATACTACACTGGCAGTACTTTTACGCCGTACGCAAAATATACGGTTTCTTCTTGCTGAGTGGATTTTAAAAAAAAAATTTCAAGACTTAAAGGTCAATAGCACTCAATATTTTTATTAGTATTTTTTCTCACTTTTCTTCTCTCTTGATCTAGTGGTAATTTTGTTCTGATTCGAAGTGTCGAAGTAAACGTTAGAAAAAAAAGGTAATCGGCAGTTTTTTTTTCTGACCCTTGGCCCCATGGTGCCGGTTTATTGAGAATAATTTCCATAATCGTCACGAACATGTGTTTCCGCTCATGTAAGAATTTTCGGTGATTGCGTCCAAAATCTAAATTCGAATTTTTAATATATATCCAAACATATAGCCAAACCAAAACGGAGAAATACTTGATGTATTTTGTTGACGATTGAAGCAAAGTATATCAATAGCGCCACCTAACATGATGCGACATTGGATACGACGTTCGAACGAATCAACACCTCTGTGTACAACGCACACATAGACTCTTTGCATTCACACGAACATACACACAAAGACTTTACTTTCACACGTACGTATAGTTACAGAGATTTGTGGTTGGTGGCGCTCCTAACAAAGTTTCCACAGCAGTTTTAAACGTCAAACATTGCTATAGCATATGAGCTAGATAGTTTTGAGCCAAACCTTCCAATAACGGAATCTCTATAAAGTGGAAAATTCGGCCGTTGAAGGGTTTTCTTTAAAATGCACTCTTATTAGAGGAATTTTTGCTGCAATCAACGGAAAATCTAGGGGTTTCACGCAACTTAAAATTCATCTAAAATTTCAATATTTCTCTCTTTTCTCTAAAATTCCCTGGGATTCACCAAAATCCGTATTATTTCGAAATATTTCAACATTCACCTTGAAAATTATGTTCTGGAAGTGGGTTTTGGTGGATCCTCAGGATCGTTCAAAACTGCTCCCGGTTCTGGAAGTGGGTTTTGGTGGATCTTCAGGATGGATCAGACTGGGTTTGACAATGCCCTGGTCCATCCTGAGGATCCACTTCCAGAACCAGGAGCGGTTTTGAACAATCCTGAGGATCCACCAAAACCCACTTCCAGAATTTTTAGATTCAAAAAATTCTAAAAAATTCGAGTTTATGAATAAAAAGAAGCAATATCTATAGTTTACACATAAAATGGTTTTATTTCCAGCTATTTAGTAAAATCTTCGGCCTTCGAGTTTGCGTGAAACCCCTAGCGGAAAATCGCTCGGTTTGTCCACATTTTCCCCTTTAAATATTATATAAACATTAAAGCAATATCAGAATTAATAATAACGATTTGCAATCAGGTGCATGCACGTAGATTAGACTCCATCACTTTGCTGTAGACAATTAAATCAACATCCACGATATTCACAAATATTTGAAATTCACAATATTTAGAACATTCACAGAAGAGATGGTGTGAATATTCACAATATTCACAACTTTCTGGAAATGAATGAAACCCCTGGATTACATATCTTTTATTTCTTATCAGTTTTGTGAACAACGCGAAACACCACGAAAACCAGCCAAAAATGAACGTTCTCACCTATAATTATTTTGGAATTCAAATAAGTCTTCTTTTTTAAATATCAGTCTTCTCTTGTATACCGAAGTCTGTGAAATATACTCGTCCCACAAACGTTCGAACGTTCGTAGAAACACTAGAACCATAGCATAAAAATAAAACATTAAAGATTAAGAATAATTAAGTTAACATTATAGATTTTTTTCTGTTTCTTCTAGACTTTTTTCCTTATATTTTTTAGTTCACTTCAGAGTCGAGTTACTACATAAATTTGCAGTATATTTTCAATTTCGAAAAAATACGTATTTCAACTTTTACCAAATCAGCTCAAACTTGAATTTACTATAATGGAATATGGGGTATTTCATTTCGTTTTGTGTTTTTCCAAAAGGATATCAAATTCATCAGGTACATGAAACTTGTATTGGTGAAAATCACCAAATTAAAATGTGATTCATTAGAAGAGTTCATGAAAATTCCATAGAAAAGAATCAACTTGAACATGCGATGAAATGTCGAAGCCCGACGGCAAATTTGTTTTCACTTGATCGCTTTAGAAAAAGCATAAAAAATCGAAGATGCTTGAAAATAATATCACAAAGTCTTTGGAATTGCTTGCCAAAGACGAAATTTTTCATTTTTTTTTTTCTCCGAACCCTACATTCACGTTATCCAAAGTATAGCAAATAACATGTAATTCGAGTTGATGCACGAACGAAAATATAAATAAGTTTGTTCCATGTTCAACATCAAACGTAAACATATTAAAACAAATAGCCAAGATTAAGCGTCAAAAAGGAAAACGAGTGGAGAGAGAAAAATTGGATGGCAAGAAAAAAATTCCAAGCAGAAACCGAATGAAAACGAAACGTATAATGAGGGGCAAAGAATACTGGCTGGAGCTTAGAACGTAGTATGAGTTTCATACGTGAAATACATAATAAATTCGCACCACATTAATGCGATTAGGATACACCCTAAATCCATCTAATAAATATAATATTCGTTGTCTTCGTCGTTGATGCTGTGTGTTTACAGCAAACAAACGAGCAACGCCAAACACGGATGACAGAATTGTGAATGGAACATTCGACTGAATGGCAAAAAACAATCAAAAATAAAACCAGGAGATATTCAACGACCAAATATTTTAACTACTTACCCGTGTCTCTAGCTAAATTTGTTACTATTATTTATAATCCAACCAAAATTGAATTAACCGCCACACAACGCATTACACATATCTTTTTTACAGTATTTTTGTTTTCACTTGGCTCTTTTCAGTTTTATGACAATCGCATTCAATCGATTCACTTTATCATTCTACATGAATGCGTTTGATTGAGTTATCTCTGGAATTCAATGTCGGTGTGATGTCGGAGGTCCTTGTGAAAAATTTCCAATAAAATCGATTGATTCTGTGTGCCGTGAAATTTCGACTTGTCCACAATACAATTTAGTTTCTATCGCTTGAAATTGGCCCGATTTTATTTTTATTCATTCATCATTAAATGACATACACTCGAAATCGGCCTGAACCACTATCAATCACTGTGTTTTAACCACGGAAAAAATGTTTGTTCTGTATGAAAACAATGTTTCTCTGATATATTTAAAGCTTTCTTTTTTTTAGCTCGACGTTCGCACTATTTTTTATTCACGTCTGTAGAAGTGAACGCTTCGAAATAATGGCACCAAACAGAAATGATGGCAAATTGTATGAACCGGATTAACTTGTGTCTTCGTATCATCGTGCAAAAATTGGCGTCGAAAAGAAAAGCTAACGGCGACGAAGTCAAGTAAAAAAAGATGTCACAACTAATACTAGAGTCGATCTATCAATCGAATATCGTTTCAAATCAAACTAGTTTTTCACTTTCTTGAAGGTTCTACTTTTGTCTGTGTGGGTTTTTCGCTTCTACCGAATTTTTGTTCAAGTGCTGAAGAAAAGCACTTTTCTTTTCGTTTTTCTTCACCGACTTGGAAATTTGTTTCTGCTATTCTTGTCTCGTTTGTCGGCACAACTTTTCATATTCAACGATGCCGCACTTTTTTTTCATCATTTAGTAGCACATTCATGCGTCTTTATCATAATTTATTTATTTAGTTTGGCAGTTTTTTGTCGATTGTTGGCAATTTTTTCTCGTTCATGTCACAAAATAGACGAGCGGATGGTCGCTTTTTTATGTTTTTATGTGTCAAGTAAACATCAATTGAATAAGAGAGAAAGAGACTTTCTCACATACACGAAGCCCAAAATAGCACAACACATTCACTTCTAACGACGGATATTGATATCTTTTTGCATGATGGATTTTACAACCCAGCCGATACCACACTCGAGAACGGCCAAAGGGATAACGCATTTTTATTCAACATCCAAGTAATATAATCATTTCTCCGTTTCGATACTAAAATGCCATTCATTCGCTTCTTCTTAGATCGAAAATTATATCATTTGTGTGGATGATTTCTCTTACACTCGCAAAAGTTCACTTCAGATATCCAAACACACACCGAATATACATTGGCTACTTTTTGTTTTGCATTTGGAACTGTGTGCGTGAGTGTGTTATGCCAGCGGCCAAGAGAAATATCTTTATGGTTTATCTTTTCGGTACACCAAAATTCATTCTGTTTATTCAATTTTTTTATTTTTCTGTCTTTTTTGTGTGCGTTCGATCGTTCATTCCTATGTGTTTGTTGTTCAAAAGTCAACCTGAAGCGATTTTGCACAGGTCAGAATAACTCGAAGGTGTGTACTGATGTGTAAATTTACCAGTTCACTGAATCTTTTTCACATAACTCGAAAACAAAGCGCGACAACTTCAATTCATTGCACTGACGCTGGGATACGTCCGCACTATACACCGGTCATAGACTAACTGAAACCAATATGGAAACTAGGACAGTCTCACCAAAGCTCAATTTGGCTCCACTCACGCACTTCCAGTCTGGAAGTTTTGCGTTTCGTTCGTGTTATGCGTACGGCTTCTGTAGTAGCTCCAATTTCAAAACAAATTTACTGCAAGCAACAACTTGGACGGTTTCGAAGCGTTTTCGAACATGGAGAATACGAACTGCTAACTGATGGTGAGTTTGCGCATCATCCATTTCAGATACCGACATTACATCCTGCATCATACGCCTAAAGTATAGTACAATCCGAAATACGTCTTTTTCCATTTCGATGTCAATGGCTTTGTTTATATACAGACAAGACACAAGGTTTTTTTTTCATAGCAACTTCAACTATAATTGGAACACAAGAAAAGTTCTTCCATTCAACGGATGCATTTATAAAGTTTACAGGGTGTTTTCGTCAAGCGTAACACATCCACCACGATTTCAATGGCTTCATTTTTCAAACATTATTTTTCTGCACTGTTTTTGCCGCGGCAAATTTTCAATACGTTTCGGCTTCTTTTTCAAATAATAATGAACTTGGCTTTCGTCCACTCAAACATTTCTGCCAAATCTATGACAATTTATTCATAGCATCTAAAATGATGTAGTTAATTTTCTAATGTGTAAAAAAATCTTCATAATTCAAGCTTTGACAACTTTTTTACAAACTTGTTCCTGCTAATTTTCGAGAAACATCTACAAATTTTTATAGATTAGATTATTATTAAAAATGAGACTGAACGAATAAAAAAAAATTAAGCAATATATTGATGGTCGCTATTTAAACATTTGGAAAAGTTTATTATATTCATATATGCAATCATTATTTTCTTGTGGTGACTAATCAACATTCATAGAAAAATCCACATCAAAAATGTGCTCATTATTAGCATGAATCACATCAACTTCACATCAAATATGTGCACTTTTTGGTGTAAGTCAGATTCTCACACCGAAAACTCCATAACACACGGTTCGCGATGATTGTATACAAAATACGAATTCATGACGGCAAAATTTAGTAGGTAATAATAGGAAGTGTGTGTTTAAACAAGATGTTTCGTTCAGATGCATTTTACACTAATTACATACATTCATAGCTACATTTGGATAAAATAAACTCAGACCAAATTTACAAATTTGGGTTTTTGTTCTTTTCTCAGTTATTGGTTTTTGTCTCTGGCATTTAATATGTGTACCAACGATGGTCGAAAAAATGCCAGAATAGAAAACCAAATCATCAATGAAACTTAAGTGGAAAAGTTTTTCATACAATATTTACTACTTTCGCCTTGCGAGTTTTGCGCGTCAACTCAAGCGAAATAAAGTAGCAATTTTAACATTTTTTTGCATTTGATTTGGAGCGTGTGCAGCGTAGTAGTGTACACGCCGGCAAACTTTCTCCATATTTATTAATAAAAAGTAGTGGAACAACCAGATTTTTCCTGTTCAAAGCAAAACTCTACGAATAAAAATGCATGCGAAACTTTTGAAAAAGTGATTTAAAGCTAACGCCAGACCATCACTGTGGGTGCTGTACTTGAAAATGAATTGGTTATGTGGATTTCTGTGTTACACAAGGTATTTAAAATTAAAAAAAATACAGATAAATACAATAGGATAATTGTAATTTTCGAAAAATGAATTTGGATTCATGATAAAAGCCTACCTTTTCTTCACAGAGAGTCAAGAAGCAAATGATAAATAGAAGGAATTGTATGGTTTTGATTTGGATTTTTCTTTTTAATGTTTTACATCAGTTCAAGCAGATCCATGTTGATTGTAGAGTGCTTTGAGTTGAACATTAGATAATCACGTTTCCAATATGGCTCCAGTTCAAATGATCACTCGTGGAACTCAAACTGACGATTGTCCAATCAGTACGGCAATGACCCATTTGGCTGACTTCAAGGGGGCTCAAATGGAAAGACAGTCTGATGGCACACCATTGGCTAGAAGAGTCGCGCAATCATTTAAGTTGGATACATTCATGATAAAAGATCCAATTAGAAAATTTAACGAAAATACAATATATCAAAATTCAACATGCAATTACTAAACTCCAGGTTTGAATATTTATTACATCATACAGGTATACTCGACATTATAACGACGAGGTTCCATGCACAAGCACTAAAAATCAAAATATTTAACCAAACACAAATAATTCATCATCAGAACATAACCAATCATCTGTGGTCAAATTCTGTTTAGCTCTAACGATTCATTTCATAATGTGATATCACACTCACAAATTGTGCCCAACTTGAACTGAACTGTTCGTGTTCGTTCGAGTTCTAACCATACATTGTAATATTAGGTGAGTGCCACTAAAAAAA